CTTTTCTATTTCTGGTTAGGTTGACCAGAGGTTTATCAATTTTGTTAATCTTCTTAAAAAAAACAATTTTTTGTTTTGTTGATCTTCTGAATGATTCTGTTGTTTTCAGTTTCATTTAATTCTGCCCTAATTTTGGTTATTTCTTTTCTTTTGCTGGGTTTGGGGTTGGACTTTTTCTTCCTTTTCCAGTTGCTTGAGATGATCCATTAAGTTGTTGGCTTCCTCTCTTTCTGTTTTCTTTTTTTTTTTTTTCTTTCTGTTTTCTTGATGAAGGCTTCCAATGCTATAAGTTTCCCTCTTAGGGCTGCCTTTGCAGCATCCCACAGGTTTTGATCATTTGTGTCTTCATTATCATTTTGTTCCCAAAATTTGATGCTTTCCTTCTTAATCTTGTCTTTGACCTAGCTGTCATTCAGCCTAAGATTATTTAGTTTCCATGACTTTGAGTATAAAGATTCCTCTTGCTATTGAGTTCAACTTTTATTCCATGGTGATCTGGGAAGATACAAGGAATAATTTCTATACTTTTAAATTTGCTGAGGTTAGACTTGTGTTCTAGGATATGATCTATTTTGGAGGATGACTCATGGGCTGATGAGAAGAATGTACATTCAGTTTTATTAGGGTGAAATGTTCTGTACAAATCTGTATTATAGAAGTCCATCCCTTCATCCTGAATCTATTTTTATCCTTTAACGTAAGATGAGATTCTTGTATACAGCAGATATCCAGTCTGAGTTTATGTTTCCAGTCACCCAGCCTGTTCCTCTTTAGAGGACAATTTAAGCCATTTATTAATTGAGAGAATTGATAAACCTGGTTGTGCTTTGGGTGTCATGATTTTCAGATGTCCAATGGACATTTTTAATCCTTTCACCACTATGGAAATTGGATTTTGTTCAAAAATTTCTGGGTTAGTTTACTTTGGAGGTAGAGCATTGTGCTGGTCATTGTGGAGGATGGGTCTGTTATGGCAGATCTCTTCAACATGTCTATGTCATTAAAGTATTTGATTTCTCCACACAAATGAAACTCAGTTTAGCTGGATACAGGATCCTGGGCTGGAAGTTGTTTTGTTTAAGGAGATTGAAGGTCGAAGACCATCTTCTTCTGGCTTGAAACTTTTTGGCTGAGAGATCTGCAGTCATCCTAATATTTCTTCCTTTGTAGGTGATGCTTTTCTTATGTCTGGCTGCTTGTAGAATTTTCTTCTTTGTCTTAACTTTGGCAAAGTTAATCACAATGTGTCTAGGAGATGCTTTATTTGGATTGAGTCTTGCTGGGGTTCTGAAACTGTCTGCTGTCTGAAGTTCTATATTTCTTGCAATGATTGGGAAATTCTCCTCCAAAATCTCTTGGAGATTTTGAGAGTAGAGCATCTGTACCCTTAGGACCATCCTCTTCTCCAGGAATTCCTATAAGATGAATGTTTGATCTTTTGGAGTGATCCCACAACTCTCTCAGGGAATGATCAGTTTTTGCTCTTCATTTGTCTGCCTCTTTTGAGTGTTTGGGAACATTCAAAAGCTTTGTCTTTGGTTTCAGAGATCCTTTCTTCTGCCTGGTAAACTCTCTTACTGAGGGATTCTACTGTATTTTGGAGCTCTTCAACTAACGTTTTTGTTTCCTTGAGCTCTGCTATCTCTTTTCTTATTGTGTCCATATCTTTGGTGACTTGGGCTTTGAATTCATTAGTTTCTTGAGACAACTTTAGAACTACTCTTTGGAATTCAATTTCTATTTTTTCTTCCATTCTATTATCTTATTTGCAATCAATATTCTGAATTTGATTCCTGATATTGCTGCCATTTGTCTATGCATGGCATCTTCAGTTGTATCTCCTTTGTCATTTCTTGGGGAGGGGGGTTGATCTACTCTGGTTATTCATGTTGCCAGAGTTCTTCTGTTGGATCCACACCATGTTTATTTCCACTGTTTGTTTATTAGAACTGGTAGGGTGAGGTTGAATTGGGGTTCCCAGGTAGTAGAGATAGCCCCTTACCAAAGTGCTAGGCTTTAAAATTGTGGCTTATCTCCTACAACCTTACAAAGGCCCCTTTCAGAGTTTTAACTGGAGACTCTGAGGACCTACTTGGTGAAATAGCGCAAGCTCCTCTGTTTTGATATCAGCCAGCCTCTACCCTATCCTAAGAAACCACACTATTAGGTTTAAATCTCAACTGTGAAGAGATACAAACAGCTGCGGTGCCCAGTCCCCACCCTTCAGCTTTTTCCGCTACAGAACTTCAAAGGTCAACCTTAGAATGTCCCCAAGTGGACAGCCCCAGACACAAGTTCCAATTAAATTGACTCAGGTGGTGCAAACACTGCTCAACAGTGAGGCATTCAAGGGTCTCAAATAGCACAGTTGGAGCCAGGGATCCACACTCCTGCCTGCCAAAATCAGTCCACGCTGTTGTCCTTTTCTCTGCTCACAAGCCCAAGTTGGAGCTAGGGGCCATGCCCTGGCCCACTGGTCTCAGTCCACACCCAGCTAGCCTCTGCTTGCCAGACCAGTTGGAGTCAGGGGACCACGTCCCCACCTGCCGGTTACAGTCCACTGCCTGGCAAGCCTTTGTTCATAGGCGCTGTTGGAGTCAGGGCACTGGGCCCCACCCTCTGTTCTCAGTCTACACCCAGCTAGCCTCTGCTTGCCAGACCAGTTGGAGTCAGGGGACCATGTCCCCGCCTGCCAGTGTCAGTCCACTGCCTGGCAAGCCTCTGTTCACAGGCTCTGGTAGCATCAGAGCACTGCACTCTGCCCGTAGGTCTCAGTCCTCACCTGATAAACCTCTGCTCACCACCCCTGCTAGAGACAGGGTACCACGCCCTAGCCCTCAGATCTTGGTTCACACACAGTAAGCCACTGCTCGAGGGTTCTGTTGGAATTGGGGCCATGCCTTTGCTCTTAGGTCTCAGTCCACACCTAGCAAGCCTCTGCTTGCAGGCCCAGCGGGGGCTAGGGACCAACCCTGTCTGCCAAACCTCGTCCACACTGCACTACCACTCTCCTGCTGTGGGTGCCATCAGAGCCGGGGGTTTTGTACTCCATCCTGCTAGACATAGCTTGAACCAAGGATCAGCACCACCACTGGTTGGGTGTAGTCATAACCAGGGGACTGCTCCTCTTCCTGTCAAGTGTCCCTTTCTTGCCACACCCTCTTTCTTCCCCATTAGTCAGATTCTGTCCTGATGGTTGACAGTCCATACTATGCCCAGATCTTGCAGAACAATACCAAACACTCTGTGCCCTGGGGGGTGCAGAACTTCAGATCGCCGTGCGAGGGGAAAAGGGTGGACTGGGAGTTTGGACTTGTGGGGGAAAATACCTGTTCCATTTTATTCCTGGAAGGGTGATATCTAGGTTCATAAGTGGGACGTCCCTGGAGAAAGGAATTTAGCAGCTCTCTCCAGTGAAGTAAAATGAGAGGTCTTTTGTTCTGTGCTCATTCTCTCTCATTCTCAGCCACCGCACCCAGCCTCTTTGTTTTCTTATAAAAATTGTATAGTGTTGCCCTTCACATTTAAGCCTTAATCAACTTGTGATTGATTGAAAATATGTTTGATGATAACTGAGGGTCTCATTTCACTTTTCCCCTGTAGTTGGCTGGTTTCTCACATGTTACTTATTGTAGAGTCCAGACAGTCCTTTGAGCTGCATCATTAGCTCTGTTGTAAATCTCATTTCCTTTGGTTTGTGGGTATTATTCTGGGCACTGTCTTCTGGTTCAGTGGTCAGTGTATCCACCTCTTATCACTATCACATTCTCTTAATATGCTGCCTGTTCTTTTACAGTTTTCTCATATTCTTAATCTTTTGTATCTTTAAACAAATTAATGAAATAGGAATTAAACACATAACTGAGGACTATTAAGTCAAAAGCTATTTCTTTGAAAAGCTTAGTGAAATAAACCAATTCTATTATTAAGCAAAGAAAAGAGAGTGAATGTGTACATTATAGAAAGGCAAACATTGTAGAAGTTAATCATTAATAAGAGGACATTATGAATAACTCGGTGTCAGTAAAAAAAATTCATCAAATATTCATGCACCCCTACCATCTCTCACCCACTAAACTGAAACTATTGATATTCCTTTGGATTATATTTCCTCTTATCCCAACCTTTTTTAGAAGGAATCCCTATCAAGAATTTGGTATTTCTCATTCCTCTGCATTTATTTATACTCTGCATATATGTGTCTATCCCCAAAATATTTACAAATTGATGTGCTGGATTAAAAACCCTCTATAAAATGTATCACATACAGTGTAAATTCTCAGGCCTGCTTTCATAGTGATCACTTTATTTGTGAGATTCAAAAATACTGATAGACTTAGTTTATTCTTTTTTAAAACTGTAGGGTATTCTATTTTGAGTATATTATAGTTGATTTCTTTTCCTATTGATGGATATTTAGGTTATTTTTCTATTATAAACAATGCTGCTGTGAATATATTAAACATGGTCTATATAACATTTCTTTAGGGTAAATACCTACATACAGAATTGCTGGGTGGTAGCACATGCTTGTGTTCAACCTTGCTAGATGTTGCCATATTGTTCTCCAAAGTAGTTGTTGTTTAATTGTTTTTTTTTCTTTCAGTGCCTGAAGACCTCTCATTAGAAGAGAGAGAAGAACTCCTAGACATTCGTAGAAGAAAAAAGGAACTTATTGATGACATTGAGGTAAAAAACAAAAATTTTTTTTTCTTACGGGTAAAATAGAAGAATAGCTTTAAAAAATGTAAAATATGGGTGGTTAGTGTATGATACAAAGTAAAAGAGTTTTCCTCATTGGTAAAGCAAAGAATACACACTAGATTGTGCAGACCTTGGATTGGAAATCAAGACGTCATCATCATGGAACTGAGGTCAGTAGTGATTGGCCTGTGGCTCTGGGGCCACAACTAGCACATTTAACTAGCAGTTATCCTCATGCTTTCTCAAATTGTGTGATAAGATTTTGTTGTTTTTACCCAGCCCTAGCACATAGAATATTACCTTTCCCATTTTGGGGTCTCAGGAGTCTTTGAATGAACAAATAGGCATATATTGGTTTCCAGCTATATACCAAGTGTTTGCTAGGTGGTAGGATAAAATGACAAATTAAACAAAGATGAATAACACCACAAGCAAGTAAGCCTTGTCTTTCTCACATTTGTGTACTTAGCTCAGAGGGACAGGGTGGAGGGGGTCCCATAGGAGAAGCAAATGAATAAAACCACAGTCTCAGAGTTGGAGTCTCTATTATTGTTACAGAGATTATTCAGAAGGCCAGCCCTGGCTATTTCCATTTGGAGCTTCCTTGGGAAAGTCAATCAGACAGATGACTCCTCTTTGAGAAGATTCTCTGTCATTGTCATTGCCAAAATAAATGTGGTCTCATAGACTGGGCCTTGTCCCATATAATAACTCCTTTCTAGGAACTTGGATTTTAAGTCTGAAGTTTCTTGGCATTCAGTAATAGTATTCTGAATAAAAAATGTCTTTGTAAGGTAATTCGTGGAAATTTTCCTTCTAAAGTTACCCTGAGGTACCTACAGAGTAGGAGCCACATTGAGGGAAGGGGAAGTCTATCTCGTTCACTAAGTGTCATGGGGCAGTTCTGTTTTCACCCCTTGGCTCTGTCCATAGTACTTTATTTTGACAAAGTGATAGAGATCATCTTGAAACTGGTAGCTAGGTAGCTTGATAACAACCTAAACATGTTTGAGTTTCAACTTCTCCCCTGTTCTTCACAAGAATGTAGGTAGCCTTGAAGGGGAGAAAGTAGGTGACCATGTGTGGGACAAGGTTGAATAGTATAGTTAAGTAAATTTAGGATTTGTGGTTTTCCTTTTGCTGGTTTTATCTTTTTACACCTGTGATACTTGTCTAGTGTCTCAACTTGATTTTACACACAAATACCCTAGGATCTGCCTAAAGGACTCCTCTGATCTGGTATCTGACAAGAAGGAGACAAATAATTTTGTTTTCTCTTAAGTTGACCTTGAAGCTCTAGCCATAATGATGGAAGTATTGGTTTTCCTATCCCTATGGTAAGACCTCAAGGAAGCCTGTGCCTAGAAGGCTAAACTTTCTTTGAGTCTAGGAGGAGGAAAGTTAAGGCTCTTGCCCCCAAATTCCTCCTATTTTGACAGAGACTGAAATATGAAATTGCGGAAGTGATGACGGAGATCGACAATCTAACTTCTGTAGAGGAAAGGTAAGCAGTTTATAGTTACACCTTCAAGTTATTTAATCTGTTTCCTCTGTACTTCCACCCTCCAGCTGAACTTGCAAGAACAAGTGATTACAGCAGGCGTGAGAAGGATTGGGATTAGAAAGTGGGGAGTCTTTGGAGTCGTGTGCCTTCCCCATTCTTTTCTGCTTCTTATGGAGGGGGTCAGGACATCTCTGGATATTACCTCTCTTTCAGAGTCATAGGTTTTTGAATAAGCACAGGTACTTCAGAGTTAGCCATCCTGTAATATAAGGAACTGTGCTTTATTAAAATCATTGGTTTTTATTAGTAGCCTTTTCTGAAGAAATATATCTCAAGTTTATCTAATGTTAAAAATAGCGGGCTTGGCGCTTGTAGCTCAAGCAGCTAAGGCATCAGCCACGTACACCAGAGCTGACAGGTTCGAATCCAGCCCAGGCCTGCCAAACAACAATGACAGCTATAACCAAAAAATAGCCAGGCATTGTGGCAGGCACCTGTAGTACCAGCTGCTTGGGAGGCTGAAGCAAGAGAATTGCTTAAGCCAAGAGTTGGAGGTTGCTGTGAACTGTGATGCCATGGCACTACCCAGGGCGACAGCTTGAGGCTCTGTCTCAAAAAAAAAAAAAAGTTGGGGCAGCACCTGTGGCTCAAAGGAGTAGGGCACCAGCCCCATATGCCAGAGGTGGTGAGTTCAAACCCAGCCCTGGCCAAAAACAAACAAAAAAAAGTAAAGGCTGGCTTGGTGCCTGTAGTTCAGTGTTAGGGTGCCAGGCATATACATGGGGCTGTTGGGTTCAAACCCAGGCTCGGTCTGCTAAAAACAACAATGACAATTACAACAAAAAACAGCCGAGCTTTGTGGCCGGGGCCTGTAGTCCCAGCTACGTGGGAGGCTGAAGCAAGAGAATTGTTTAAGCCCAAGAGTTTGAGGTTGCTGTGAACTGTGATGCCATGGCACTCTACCAAGGGTGACATAGTGAGACTCTATCTCAAAAAAAAGTAGTGAAGACAGACACATAACTCCTGCTTCCACCAAGAGGGCCTATGCTTTTTTTTCACTGAATTGTTAAGAGGGAAAATTTGCTAAAGGGCCATGATTCAGCTACACTGGGGAGAGAAGAAAGTCACTGAACTGTGAAAGCAATTGCCAATGATTTTTTTTTTAATTTCATATAAATAGCAAAACTACTCAGAGGAACAAACAAATAGCTATGGGAAGAAAGAAATTCAACATGGATCCCAAAAAGGTAAGAGAATGCTTTGTTTTCTGAAAGTCATCAGGACATTGATTTTTTTTTTCTGTTTGTTTCCTACAGTAGCCTTTTGTTTTTAATACCTATTATGCCATGAATTCATAGGGAAAAAGGTTCCAGCAGCTTGAGGAGGCACCTGTTTATTGAATGTGACAAAGCTTGCTATGCCCATTATGTCATGAATTAATTCATGGGGAATAGGTTCCAGCATCTTATGTTCCTGTTCCATTCCTTCTCTTGGTTCTCCTGTGTGTTGCCCTGTGTATCTATTACACCATGAATTCATGGGGAATAGGTTATAGCACTTTATGCTCCTGCTCAACTGGTTCTCTTGGTTCTCCTGTGTGCTATGCTGTATGCCTGTTGAGCCATGAATTCATTCAGAATGGGTTCTAGGAGCTCAGGCTCCTTTCTGTTGGTTCTCACAAAATGTGCTTCTCTGGGTGGAACAGGCTGGTGCTTCAGTTGAACCCTTTCTCTTTGGCTTCCTCCTTTTTTTGATCATTTTCCTTCATGTGTTATAGGAAGCTATCTCAGTTCTTAAAGTGCTTAATATGCTCAATATGCACATTAATCCTCTTGGCAAGAATCTTGCACTTGTTTGTTCATAACAATGCCAATAGCATGCTGGGTAACATTGTAGAATCTTCCAATTTTGCCATGGTAACATTTGTGTGGCATGCCTTTTTGAGCAGTACCCATTCCTTTGATGTCTACAATATCACCTTTCTTGTAGATTTGCATATATGTGGCCAAAGGATCAACTCCATGTTTTCTAAAAGGCCTAGAGAACACATATATTGGGTACCTCTCCTCTTTCCCTTAGTGTTCATCATTTTGGTGAATTACTAGAAGATGGTATCTCTGGATGAAAGGCAGATGTTAATTAATTTTTAATGGCTGTCTCCCTTTTGCACAGAAGTAGTGTATCATCTCATAAAAAGAATAGGAGTTGATGTTAAATTTGTATCAGAAAAATTGCTGCTCACAAGTGAATGAGGCAGAAGCATCCTCTTTGGGCTGGTGCCCTGTGTATGAGGAAATGGCCTCAGAGGAGCACTTGGACAACTTCTGCAGGCCCAGCATGGAGCCAGGCAACACCCTTGTGGTCAGGGTTATTGCCCTTTGTCTTCACTGTTGAACTGGGCCTTAACAGCTGGAAATCATGTGATCAGTAAGGAGCAGAGGTAGGAATGGAATCCAGGCATACAGAATTTGTAGACCTTATCGTCTATATGGGGTATACGTAAGAGGATTTTATTCCTTTCATTCACCTTAAAAAGAAAGTATTGTATGAAAGAACAAGCAGTCTTTCCAGATTTAAGCCATCATCTTGCTCTTTATTTGAGTTGAACTTTTTATTTATTACTTTATTTTGAGCAGAGTCTCTTTCTATTGCCTGGGCTAGAATGCCATGGCACGGTCATAATTCACTGCAGCCTTAAACTTCTTGGCTTAAGCGATCCTCCCCCTTCAGCTTCCTGGGACCACGGGTATATACTACCACATCTGCCTAATTTTTTCTGTTTTTTGTGGCAATGTAGTCTTGTTCTTGCTTAGACTGGTCTTGAACTCTTGACTCCAGATAATCCTCCCACCCCAGCCTGCCAAGTAGCTGGGATTATAGGCGAGTACCACCACACCTGGTTAATTTTTCTTATTTTTTGAAGAGATGGGATCTCACTGTATTGCTTAGGCTGGGCTTGAACCCTTGGGCTGAATAGATCTTCCTGCCTCAGCTTCCCTTAGTGCTAGGATTGTAAACATGAGCCAGCATGCCCGGCCTCAAGTTGGATTTTTTAGGAAAACATCTGAAAATGGTAAAACCTGAAACATGCAGCTTCTTATTTTTGAGATTGAGCTAGAGGATTTGGCAGAGTCTGTGAAGCTTTTGAGAACATGTAACTCAGTTGTAACATTTTGATTCAGGCAGAACAAAGGTAGAAAGAGTAGAACTGAGTCTTTAGGGCCTAGGAGAGGAACGATGTGTCCATTCTAGGTCTTCTAGCTGCAGAGCAGGTTTACTTCATTCTTTGTGGTCTTTTAAGAATGTTCACTTCTGGCTCGGCGCCTATAGCTCAACCGGCTAAGGCGCCAGCCACCTACACCTAAGGTGGCTGGTTCGAATCCCCAGCCTGGACCCGCCAAACAACAATGACGGCTGCAACCAAAAAATAGCCGGGCGTTGTGGCGGGCGCCTGTGGTCCCAGCTACTTGGGAGGCAGAGGCAAGAGACTCGCTTGAGCCCAGGAGTTGGAGGTTGCTGTGAGCTGTAATGCCATGTAATGCCATGGCACTCTACCCAGGGGGACAGCTTGAGGCTCCGTCTCAAAAAAAAAAAAAAAAGAGTGTTCACTTCTGAAATTTTTCCTTTTTTTTCTTACATTGAGCCTCTTTGCTAATTAGTTAATTATTCATTCAATAAATGTTTATTGATTATAAGAATTACACTATACAAGGTTTAAGATCTGTAAACTTAGACTTATAAGTGCAAGTACAGTTAAAAATATTTAAAGAAATGTGTCACTATTCCCTGTTCATAGTTTGCATATTTGTATTTTCTTAAGGTACAGCATATCTGCAGCTGGAAGAGGCTTTTTGTTTAATTTGGACACTCCAGCCACTGAAAATTTTCTTGTTGCTTCCTAACTCTCTGCCTGTGGTGCATAAATCAACTCCAAAACGGAATGAAATGGAAAGTCAATTTTGTGACTTTGGTAATGAATTGATACTTAGGGTTAGTTATAGGGTTTTTTTAGGAGTTGAGTCTACAGAATTGAATTATTAGGAGATTTAATAACCATTCGTAACATCTCAGGAGTGTTTAAAAACCAGAGTAGAGGTTTTTAAAACTAGACCTTGTGTTTTAAAGGGACCCAGGTGCAGCATAAGAACACTAATAAGTTCATAGATAAATTCTAATCTCATGAAATATAATCAACTATTTATTTCTTTTTAAGTGATGCTACCACTGTGTGCATCAGGTTTTAATTGTGATCATGAACTTATTCTAATTCTTGGGAAGTCCTCTCTGTCAGGTTCTTGTCGATCTTATTTTATATGTACTGTGTGTCAGACTTAACAGTAATAAGGGCCAACATTAAGAACTTATTGTTTGCCAAGAACCATGAGAAGGAAGCACTTTATTCCTTATATACATACTAAATCCTTATAAGGTAGGAGCTTTCATTTTCTTTTTTTACTTTTTCTTTTTTTCTTTCTTTTGAGACAGAGTCTCACTTTGTCACCCTTTGTAGAGTGCTGTGGTGTCATAGCTCACAGCAGCCTCAAACTCCTGGCCTTAAATTATTCCCTTGCCTCAGCCTCCCAAGTAGCTGGGACTACAGGTGCCCACCACAACCCCCAACTATTTTTAGAGACGAAGTCTTGCTCTGGCTCAGGCTGGTCCCAAACTTGTGAGCTTAGACAGTCCACCCGCCTTGGCCTCCCAAGTGCTAGGATTACAAAGGTGTGGACGCCCAGATCAGGGCCTTCATTTTTATTCCTGTTTTATAGTTAGGGACTGAGACACAGAGCAACTAAGGAACTTACCACCATCCTGAGCAAGGAACTCAGTTCTAGGACTCAACACCTGTAACTGTTGCTGTGAGCAGGGTTGAGGTAGATGTTCAGTCTCTTTTGCCTGGGCTGGGGCAGATTGCTCAGGAGGCTTCATTTTTCATTCCTCTTCACCTTAAAGATTTTTTATATTACAGGTTCTTTTTGGCAATTAATTTGTAATTATGTTGCTTGATAAAAGCAGATGGCACATTTAGTCTGCATGTGGCCTTTTACTGGGAAAAATTATCAAAATTCCTTAGTTTTGTAGAGTTGGACATAGTATTTGTCTTAGTCTGCTAGGGCTGCCATAACAAAGTACTGTTGGCTTAAACAACATAAATTTATTATTTTCTCATAGTTCTGGAGGCTAGAAGTCCAAGACAGGGTCCCAGCAGAGTTGGGTCCTACTGAGGGACTTCTTCCTGGCTTTCAGGTAGCTGTCTTCTTCCTGTGCCCTCACGTGGTGGGGACTAGGGGAGCTTGCTTGCTCTGGAGCAGTGTTTTTCAACCTTTTTATCTCACAGCACACTTGAACCTATAACCTATATAGTTAGGTTAACTGTCTATATAGATTAACCTATATAGTTAATCTTTTGCCACACGCTTAAATGACATTATTCAAAAAGAGTTAAAAAAGAATACACTTACTGTGCTTTGAACTTCTTTTGAAAACTTATCCTGTCTTTAAAATTTTTTGAGGCATATCTAATATCCTCTCAAGCACACCAGTGTGCCATGCTGAAAATCACTGCTCTAACAGCTGTGCAAGGTGGCTCATGCCTGTAATCCCAGCACTTGGGAGGCTGAGGTGGGTAGATTGCTTGAGCTCAGGAGTTGAAGACCAGCCTGAGCAAGGTTGAGACCTGTCTCTAAAAAATAGCCAGGCATTGTGGAGGGCACTTGTAGCTCCAACTACTTGGGAGGCTGAGGCAAGAGAATCACTTAAACCCAAGAATTAGAGGTTGCTGTGAGTTGTGACGCCTCAGCACTCTTCCGAGGGTGACAAAGTGAAACTCTGTCTCAAAAAAAAAAAAAAAAGAAGAAAGAAAAAAGAAAATCACTACTGTAGAGTATTCTTATAAGAACACAAATCTCATCAGACCAGCCCCTCACATGACTTCATATAACCCTAATTTCTTCAGAGAGGTGCCATCTTTCAAATACTGTCACATCAGGGGTTGGGTTGGGCTTCAACATATGAATTTTGGGAGGATACAAACATTGAATTCATAATTGTGCTGGATGATCTCACATGCTTCAGATGTAATTCAAAGTTATATCTACCCCCTCAAACCATGTAACTTTGTGAAACATGATGATATTGTTAAAGTAAATAAATTCTTTTAGGCTAGAAGGAATTTTTTTTTTCCCCAAGACAGAATCTCTGTGTGTTGCCCTAGGTAGAACGCTATGGTGTCACAGCTCACAGCACC